CAACAAAACGTTTGGGTATATGATTATTAATTATGCAACAAATACAATGCGCATTCATGCTATACAACGAGTTTTTGCATATAATCTCCCTTGCAACTCGTGATTTTTTTTCTTGGCAAAGCGTTTGGAGATATTTCTAGTGCGGAGATGATCAAGTTAGATTTTAAGATAATTACTGAAAATATAGAATATTAAAATATTGCAATTGTTGTTGTTAGAGTTATTTATTGATGAAAAATAAGATATTTATACCAATCTAGTTACCTATTTCTTCCTAGCTCTTTAGGTATAAGGAAATAGCACTAACATTCAATATAGGTTAGTTAACTCAAGGTCAAGGTTGCAGTTGAAAACATAGCTATAAACTATCGACTCGACCTCATAATTTCATTATACGAACAACGAAAATATGACACCTAACTCTAGGCCGAATTATTACAAGTGATTAAACATCGCAGTGTAGCTTTGTATTTTTAATTGATATATATAAATTAATCCATGACTAAATTTAGTATATCTAACTTTTATTTATGAAATATATTAAATATTTCTAATAAATAAATAAATATTAGTCTGTGTGAAATACATATTAATGTGAACTAATATTATGTGATATATCCATTAATTGGATTTTGTGTATTGTGAATTTCAGCACAATGTAAAATAATAAGCGAACAAAGTCCACTGTGAATCTTTATGCAGCCCAATTGGGAATCAGATGGCCACAAAAATGGATTATCTGCCAGTTTTAGAAAATTTCAGCCCACAAATATATTAACAAATTTTGTAATACTTTAGAGTTTCCTATACGCGCAACGTTCTGAAAGCCCACAAATTCAGCCCATGGATTAACAGTATATCTTTATATATTTGTTAATTGCTTTTAGTTTTTTTAAGATATTTTTTATTTTAAAATTAAAATTATGTATATACATTTATGGTGTAATTATTTATCACGAGCTACAATGTTATTAAAAAAATCGTGTTGTGAAATTTATATATGAATAAGTTATTTTGTTATTTTTTATGCACTTAATTCATAAATGTTATAATATATATATAGTTTTAAAATTTGTAAAAATCAATTATCCAATTCAAGAATTGACCGGTGACCGACCGGTCGAGTCAGTGATCCTGTGAGCAGCAACGTCATTTACTCGGTCAAGTTTAAAACATTACAACAAAATAAAAATAATTTATTTATATTTATGTTGTGCACATGGAAAAATAAAAATAAAAATATTGTAGTTAGGGTTCACTTTTACTAAGTATCAAATTTATTAAATGTGATATGCATATTATATAAATTATAATTTTAAGTATAATATTCATACATATGATTTATTGAAATTGTATCTTACGATATAGTCTCCTATTCCCTAAAATTCATCTTGAACAATACTATTTCAATTATAATAGGAACCCATAAAAGAGGTAATCCCAGGTCTCTTGGAAAAAAAGGCCCATAAAAGGATACTGGTCACATGGGAGGAACTGCGTGATTTTGGTTTATGAAAATGAAATATATATACTTTTTTTCTAACAGGAGATCTCACACGCTTTGGCAAATTCGAGAACACTGAAGATATAAATTGCGTGATTTTGGTTGAAATATAACCTTTTTTTAAAAAGGAGATCTCACATGCTTTGACAAACTCAAGAACACATGAAGATATAAATTGCGTGCTTTTGGTTAATGAAAATGCAATATAATATTTTTTCAAAAAAAGAGATCTCAAACACTCTGACAAAAAAGGTCCAAGAAAGGATACCGGTCATAGGGGAGGAATTGCGTGATTTTGGTTTATGGAAATGAAATATATATATTTTTTTTTCTAACAGGAGATCTCACGCACTTTGACAAATTCGAAAACACTGAAGATATAATTGCATGATTTTAGTTGATGAAAATTGAATATAACTTTTTTTCAAAAAGGAAATCTCATACGCTTTGACAAATTCGAGAACACATGAAGATATGAACTGCGTGATTTTGATTGATGAAAATAGAATATATATTTTTTCACACAAAGAGATCTCAAACACTTTGACATAAAAAGGCCCACAAAAGGATACTGGTCACAGGGGAGGCACTGCATGATTTTGGTTTATGAAAATGGAATGTATATATATATATATATATTTTTTTTTTTTCTAACAGGAGACAAATTCGAAAACACTAAAGATATAAATTGTGTGATTTTGGTTGATGAAAATAGAATATAACCTTTTTTTCTTTTAAAATGAGACCTCACATGCTTCGACAAATTCGAGAACACGTGAAGATATGAACTGCGTGATTTTAATTGATGAAAATGGAATATAATATTTTCTCAAACAGAAGATCTCAGACACTTTGACAAATTCGAGAATACGTGAAAATATGAACTATTTGAAAATAATATGGTAGCTAAGGAGTAAGGAACCACTATCCCCCTATATATATCAAAACTAAAGGTAGAAAATTTAGCTATTAATTATTTACCTAGAAATTAGAATTATATATATCAAGCTGGGGTTGAATTGATATTATAGTATGTTAAGACGGACAGACTGTTACTACTGTAAAGTAAGGGGTAAAGTGTAACTTCAGTGACATAAAAAAAAAAGAATAAAAAAAAAAGAACAACTGTAAATTATCCCACCATTATCCACCATTGCCTGTTACCCGCGCAAGAACACTGGGTGTGTGGCTCTCACCTTTGCTCATCGTTATCGAAAGAGTTCAAATTCAAACCCTAATATTTTTGTAATTAGTTGATTTTCCAAGTGTAGTAGAAACTGAACTGTGTTGTTTAGTACATGGAATTTCTGCGAGCGGCAGCAAACGAAGCTTTTATCTGAAAAGTGTGCTCTGCCCTTTGGAATTGATGAGCTCCCCATGCCTTTATTAGGTGAAAAAAATGAGCCAAGCATTTTTTAATTTGATGTGTTTCGTATTTTAGTTATTTTAATTGGTGATTTTTTTGTTGTTTCGGTTCTTGCTGCTATACAAAGTTGGGTTTTCTCTTTTTTTTTTTGTTTGTTTGTTTTTCTTTGGTTATTCATGATAATGCCATGTTTCATTTTCATTAATTTTGGGATTTGAACTTAGATGAAAATGTATTAGGCGGTTTNTGCTTCTTTTGGTTTATACATATAATGCTGTGTTTTACTTTCACTAATTTTGGAATTTGAATATAGATGGAACTCTAGTATGCAGCAGTTTGTTTAGTTCTGTTATTTGCTTGACCAACTGGAGAAAGGCTTTGGAGATTTTGAAATTTGAGCCAAGGCTAAGAAATGTTGTGCTTCTCTTTTCCCAGATATTGCTATTCCACAGCCTTGTTCTTGTTCTGGAAACAAGAGATTAACATTTAAGTCCCAGATTGGTTTTCATAAAGAATATACAACCGGCAATGAGAGAAGATTGCTGTTGGGGTCCACATTTTCCTGGAAAACCTTATGTATTACGGAAAAAATGGGGAGGCATTATACCGTAGAGAGAAATAAGGCACGGGGTAGATTGACTATAGAGGCAGTTGCTACACTCGAAATTACAAGCGTGCCTCAGGAAAATGGAGGTGTAAAAGTGCATCAAAATGCCTTGAGCATGGATTTGGATTCAGTTAGGTCAAGTTCATCTGATTCCAAGGCAGAATCTTCAAGTGATGACTCTACAGAAATGGACGAGAGGGAAAAGTTGAGACGGGAGAAGATTTCGAAAGCGAACAAAGGAAATGTACCATGGAACAAAGGAAGGAAACATAGCCCAGGTAAATCTAATAATGCTTGGATAAGAATTTTTTGTTTTGTTTGGATTTTTTGGTTTGGTTTGGTTAATTTTAAAACTGATGGTATGGTTAGTTGCTAGTGGGTATATTAAAATAATATTTAAAATAAAATAATTAAAGTTGATTTGATGTATAAGTAGAAGAGAGATGATGTGAAGTGATATTTAGTTAAAATTATGTGAGTTGATGAATAGTGAATTAAAGTTGATGTGGTGTGCAAGAATGATTGTTTGATATAATTTAATTATATTGATGATAGTGGGGTGAGTTAAAGTTGAGTTAAAAAAAGTGGTTGAGTTAAAAATGTTTAGATTTTTTGGAGAAATTTTTGAATGCAAGCATCCATATATTTGAAGAATCAAAAGTTTATTCCTAGAGTGTTGTTGCTGGTATTCCTTCCTTTTTATTTTTTATTTTTTATTTTTTATTTTTTTTCTGATTTTATAAGTATTGGTGATTGGTGATTTTTTAAGTTTCATTTATACATGTGCAGAGACATTGCAGAAAATCAAAGAGAGAACCTGGCTGGCAATGCAAGATCCTAAGGTGACGAATGAAAGAGACTAGGATATCTCTTGAAACCCCTTGATTAATTATGTCTCTTGAATCATTGAGGATCTGCTAATCTTTCCTGTCTTGTTCTTCTCAATTTATTTCTAAATACGGAAAATCATTTGGAACCATGGTAGTGAGATGTGACGCTTGGTTCTGAAATATTACTTCGTTTAAAGTCCGGGAAAGCTTGTAAGCTTTTCTTATTCTGCTTGATGCTGCAAAAATAAAATTAATTTGAACTATAAGATGGGAGATCTGATCACTTTAGAACTAAGAACTGACTGCTGGTTTCAGTTGAAATTCCCCCAATAAATATCTTTGAGGGGACTTACCTAAAGACTGCCTCAGTTATGATTCTTCTTTTTTGACATCCAGTTAGCTGTTACCTGTGAATTTCAATCTATTTATTCAGTCAATCCATATCAGCTCTCTTTTTGTATAAATTTTTTTTTCATAATTGAATAGGCATTAATGAACTTTGGCCACACAGGTCAAGATGAAGCTAATGAACCTGGGGCATGCTCAAAGGTAGGGTAACTCTTTTGCCTACTTTTATTTTAAGGTGTAATTACAACCAGTCTTCTTGAGAACCAGTTACATATAAACGACTGGTAACTTGTAAGCTTTTAAAAAGAAATAGTTCTAAAATCTGATGTAGTACTGAGATTAGAGGGTTTTCAAATTAAAATTTGAAATGCTTTTTGCTTATGAAGGAAACGCAAAATGTAACAGAATCTTAGAGTTTGTTTGAGAATTTTCAAACTTGGCCGGATTTATATCTTTTGTAGTTAACCCTTGATTCCAAACTGTCGTTCTTCCTTAAAAAAGAATGCTCTTTTTCCTTCCTTACTGTTTTGTTATAAAAAATTAATATCACGTGCATTAAGCATTTTAAAACCTCATTGTCGTCTTCTTGTTATTTTATCAGTGAGGAAACAAGGAAGAAAATTCGAATAGGCGTTCGGCTGGGTTGGGAAAGGCGACGTGAGAAGCTGATGGTGCAGGAGGCTTGCCACCATGAGTGGCAGAATTTAATTGCATTGACTGCCAAAAGGGGCTTTTCAGTAGAGGAGGAACTGCAATGGGACTCTTACAAAATTTTGAATGAAAAGCTCGAGAAGGAGTGGCTCGAGCAGATGAAGAACAAACCGAAGAGTAAGGGGAACAGGCGGGCTCCGAAGTCGGCTGAGCAGAAGAGGAAGATTGCCGAGGCCATAACTGCCAAGTGGGCTGATCCTGTGAGATTTATTTCTATGCACCAAATTTTTTGGTTTTGTGTTGACAGATATTTCTTGGATGATTACAAAAGCTATATTCTTGATATTTAGTCTACCAACAAAATCCCGATTAACTTTGAGAATGATGAAAGCTCTCTTGAGATTTGTTTAGTCTTTGGTCTTTATTCTACGTTCTTTGTTGATAGGGACAATGACCACTATGGACACTGAGTAGCGTAATTTATATATTATATATACATAAAAAAAAAGTTTCAAATCTACTAGTTCTTCCCAGGGTTTGATTATCTCTTAAATTTAATAGGGTAAAATCAAAATGAGTTGGTATTTGATTTTGAAACTTGGGTTGGTCTTTGCATGTCTGCATCAATGTTTGTGCTTTAGTAAGCATTTACGAATGTTTATGGTAGTTTCTGTTAGACTGTAACTCTATCCTGTATTAAAAATAAAAAAATAAAAAAATCTTGAAATAAGTTTCTTTTGCTGTTTTAGTTAGTGACCTTAATATTGATAAAATGCTGTTCTAGTCCAATCTAGTTATATTCTAAAAGGATTCATGTTGCATTTGATGTGGTAGTAAGTCGCCAAACTTAACGAATGAAATTATATTTCACTACTTATCTTAGTAATGCTGACCTTAATTTTTCTCGCTCTTCAAATGGTAAGGAGTACCGAAATCAGGTTCGCAATAGTATGATTAAATACTATAGCACTCGAGAAGGCGTCGAAAGGAGGCCGAGGAGAAATCCTAGTGGCGATGGGCTGGCCCGAAAGAGAAGCCCAAAGAATGAAGCTGTGAGTGTTCGTATGAGCCCATTTGAACGAATCAGATCAAAGAGAAGTAAAATACCATCATACAAGGATCCATTAGCGAGTTCCAAGTTGGAGATGTTGAAACACATTAGGGCTCAGAGGACTGCTTCTGTGGACAAAAGAAGTGTATCCATCACAAGAGCAAGGTAACTTTCATGTATTGCTACTTTTTTACTTTTTTTATTTTTTATTTTTTTTTTATTTTTATATTTGCAATTAGGTTTGTTAAAAGGGCTACCCTTGGGGTTCAGCCTAATCTCAAAAGGAACCTGTTTAACTTCTGAAATTACATAGGGGGTATATTCGTTTGGGATTTCGAGTGACATTTTGAGACTTTTTAAGATTTTCAGATTTTGGAGGAATCTTGTGATATCTTAAGCTTGGAGGTGGGATTTTGAGTTGGATTTCGTATAAGATTTTTTCTTTAGAAATCCCAGCAAATTTTAAAAAGTCCTAGTCTCAAATAAGTTAACTACCTCAACATTTATAAGACTTTTTAAAATCCCAAATGAATACCCCCAGACTTTTAAAAGTCTTAAAAAAAAGTCTAAATTAAATACACCAAAATTCCTAAAGTCTTAAAAAGTCTACCTATATCACATATAACCTCCTCTTGAGGTGTGCCTTTTATTTACAATAAATGAACTACCAGTAATTCTGCAATATCAGTGAAGTATTCTGTAGTAAGGATAAATTCAATGGATATCTGGAGAATTACAGAAAATATGGCTAAATTGCAGGCTTTTGATTGCCGAAGCTGAGAAAGCTATAAAAGCACTCGAAATATCTGCCAAGATGATGAATCCTTTTGCTGAGGCCTCATTACTCGAAAGCCGTATTCTAATAGCTGAAGCTAATCAGATCATCGAGTCCATTGAAGGCCCGAAAATCACCCCTTTTGAAAATGCCCCAGAACCCATAATCGCCGAACATATAAAAGTGAACGGAGTCGAAAGCAGATTTGAAAACCCGAATTCGAACGATTTTATGTTGCCTAATCTGGTTAATGGGAAAGCTTCAAGTTCTTTTGATGAAAAGCTTCAGCACATTACGGGTTCAAATGGCCACCTTTCACTACAATCCAATGATCTTGGTGGTGTCGAAGCAGATTCTAATGGCAGCTCGATTGAAGGACAGGAGTGTAGCCCGGAGAATCTTGAAGGACCAGAAAAGCAAATTAAAGTAACTAAAAAATGGGTACGTGGCCGGCTGGTTTCGGTTGAAGAAGAAAGCTAGATTTTTTTTTTTTTTTTTTTTTCA